AATACTATAAATACTGCTCTGTGAAATAATAAAATCACTTAAATCAGTTCGTTCATTTAAGTTCATTCATGTTATTCATGACGAATAACACGAACTCAACATGGGGACGCATGCTGACGCCTGATGCATTTGCTTTGCTATATTTTGAGGAAAAGAGGATTTTTCAAAGTATGCGCCAACCACGGTCCGCGAACGATAATTTAATTGACAGTTCTGTGCAGCCGTGGGCGAAATTTGAGATATTCACATCAATTCAAACGGAAGTTATGCGTTGAGAAATGACATTTTTATAAAGAGTAACTTCCGATATTTTAATAGCAACAAAGGCTTACAAAACAAGATTCAGTCTCTTGCAATATCACACACTGTATCATCAATATTCCTTAAATTACTATTTTTCCTTTCAAAGATTTTGCGACGTACAACATGTTTGACAACAAAACACTGAAACAGCCTGTGTTGCAACAAGAGATTAGCGATACTTCGTATATTAATTTAATAATATTATGCTTTGATTGTCATATGCGCACCAGTGCACCATAAAATTTATTTTGCACACCAGCACACCAGTTATTTCATAGTGCGCACCGGAGATCTCGTTGAAAAACGACATACTTTCCAGCCTGGTTTCTACAGCACACACCTCTTTGTATTTCTATTTCACGAAGTGCTTTGCTTAATAATAATCCGTTCGCCACCTTCGCTTCTTTGAAGAACTATATCTCTACTGGCATTTTTCTTCTTAATAGTTTTATACCACGAACACCTTGATTTGTAATAGCATTAATATTGCTTATTGCAGACAGCAGCTGCTCATCAATCGTTGGTTTACTCGGCCTACTGCGTTTATGAGACATGTGTTTGCATAAATGAAGTGAAACCCGATGTGTTTAATATTTCATACAAAATACTGATACAGCCATACAGGGTAATGTAGAATATATTCGCTCCTATAACAAAACAAAATGCGCTCGCTAAGTTTTTTGGTTTTAATTTCGGCAACTGGCAAAGGAGCACTCAGTCACCAGGCCTGTTGTTTGAATGGATGTTTCAAATTGACTTATAAAATTATTTTCACAATTAGCGCATAGAGTTAATTTAAGGAAGAGACACTGGGTTGTGTATGTCTGTCGTATGTACTTGTATGTACTCGTGTGTACTAGTATGTACTCTTGTGGTGTTTTGTCACGATCATCTCCCACTAATTTATCACGACATTGAGTTTTGTTTGAGATCATACACACATTTTTTGTCATACAAGACCATTGCACATAATTTAATTGGAAGTTAAGTAATCTGGAGCAAAATGTAAGTGAATTTCAGTTAAGCTGCAATGTAGATTGAAATTATCAGTTTCTTTTCAATGTTAGCTACATTACGACATCTATATTATAGGTATATGAATGAGACATGCAGCGTTCAGAAAATTTAACATACATTTTCTGCACGATTAGTATGAACAATTTAAAAATGTTCAACCTTAACATAATATTTCTGAATTGATGAAAGAATAATCTTAACATGCATTTTAAGATGCAAACTTTTGTGTTTTGCATGCTTCCGCACACGAGATTTTCACCTTAAATTATATGATTTTATATATCGAAAATGGCATTGGCTACAAATAGACAATGGGTGAAAGCTAATCGCATATTGATCATTCCTAAATTTACTATTAAATTCTAGAGGCAGTTTGATTTTGCTTATTTCTATATAAGAGTAACTATAAACAAATACATCGAAATCTACATAAATCTTTGTGAAGTTTACTTAAAGTGAAAAGTTAATTCCTCGTGTGTAGCATGCATATGACAATTTTTTTTAATAGACCTCTCTTTTACTTTGGTAATGTTAAACTATTTACTATTTGATGAAGATGCTAGATTTGTGGCCATTCACTTTTGCTCACGAAACTAATTGCGTTAAGCGACTCTACACAAGTCTTTTTCTGCAACTGGTTGCACATATTACCAAAGGAAACTATCTATCACATAGTTTTAAAATTATGTCTGTCTGTATTCCCTTCAGGGCGTATGACTCAAAACAATTTCTCTTATATTTCTCGCACGCAATAAATATATTTTCTCTACTCTTTACACTCTCAGTGGTAATTTACAAAGTTTGGTGAATTAATTCACTTTGACACAACTTGTCGCTTGCTGAACATTATGCGGGCTAAATAAGAGCTTCGAAATGTTTTTATCAATCTGAATGTTTCGATTTTAATGGAGGTTTTATAATGTTTTGAAAGCAATTTTAAAATGTTTAGAAATGGAATATAACTATGGACTTTTACTATCTCGAAAGGACGAAAGTGCTGTTTAGTTTGTCGTAGAGGGACTGCTTGAGACCATTTGACGAGTTCATGTGTTCTTTCATTTGCTATAGAATGAAGTTGGATTTGTTTTAATAAGCATCGTATTGTTATATTCATTTTGCCATATCGTTTTTATTGATCTCCGCAAGCGTGGGCCATTAAATAGCAAAGTAAATCGTTTTGTGCTAATGTTGCTTGAAAATTGCATCTACATGCATGAAATTCATAAACTCATTGTAGCAACACATTCAGACTATAAAGAACTGTTTGAAAATTATGAGTTTTATTAGAAATGTGTAAACACAATCTTTTCTATTTTTAATTTGATACACATAGTTATACTACCATTTCTGGGGCTGGTAAATAGGAGCACTGGCGGATCTAGGGTAAGTCAGAACACATTATAGCACCTCATTTTGAATTAAAATTTACATTAAATCTGCTGGTTAAAACAATACAAAAGAATATTTTGAGTAAAATCTTACCGATATGATTGTTTATAAAGTATTTTTGAATTATAAAAATACCATGACCAGACGACAATTTTAAAAATATATAAAACCAATTCGAAAAAAGCAAGACATCTTGGGATTCTAAAATATGCATCAAAACAAGACGAGACGTGAACTGTAAATTTTCGACTTTATTTCAAAGTCATCCTCAGACAGAATGATATTTAAACCATACATACACATATATATTTACAACGCATGAAATAAGTAAACGGAGTAAGCAATAAATTGTCGGCTGGTCATGGTTTTAGTCTAAACTCGGAAACATAGACTCTGAGTTACACAAACTATGCATACGCTATCAAATACCACAACAACGTTATGAAAAAGCTCTACCTGATTTGAAATTCTTAATTAATTATAAGAATAATCAAGTCCACCCTAAAGTTGTAAGAAGGAAGATAATACGCACATCTCCAACAAAAATAATACGCATCAATATAGCTACTTTTTTTAAAAGCATTAGGCGCAGGCTGTCTATCTTCGAAAATAGCCTGTTACGTTACAAACGACATATACAAATTTTCTATTCTGAAGCCATTGCGGGAGAACAATTCAAGAATGCTAAAATTTCAGTTGGCGTAATTGGTAACCTGATTCATTTTCCCCTTTCTATTTGAAAACATGCGAGGATTTGTCAAAACGCATTACTTAATCACTAACTGCGCCATTTCTCTCATTCCAGACGACGCAAAACCTAGAAATGTATAGCTTGTATTGTTTTATGGAATATGTATTGTTTTTAGCTTGTTATTATCTAACAAATTATTGTAATTTGCATAATTGTCTCAAACAAAATGAAGATAAAACCCAAAATAGATGAAAGTTGAAAGCCGAGCATTAAGATCTTTAATTAAAGAAAATTGCGCAGTAGATTATAATACACCGCCATTCCATAAATTCCAACTCAGTAAAACTTGACTAATATATGTTATCTCCCACTAATTTATCACGACATTGAGTTTTGTTTGAGATCATTAAACACATTTTTATCACGTAAACAAGATCATTGCACACAAGTTAACTAGAAATTAAGTAATCTGGAGCAAATTGTAAGTGAATTTCAGTTGAGCTGCAATGTAGATTATATTTATCTGTTTCTTTTCAATGTTAGCTACATTGCCACGAAATCTATATTATAGGTATATGAATGAGACATGCAAAGGCGTTCAAAAACTTAACATGCAATTTCTGCATGGTTAGTACGAACAATTTAAAATTTTCAATCCTTAACATAATATTTCTGAATTGATGAAAAGACTAATTATAAGACGCATTTTAAGATGCAAACTTTTTGTGTTTGCATGCTTCGGCACACGAGAATTTCACATAAAATATATGAACTTATATATCAAGAAAATGGCATTAGCTACAAATAGACAATCAGGTCGAAAGCTAATCGCATATTGATCATTCTAAGTTTACTATTAAATTCTAGAGGCAGTTTAATGTTGCTTATTGCTATGTAATAGTAACTATAAAACAAATACGTCGAAATGTACATAAATCTTTGTGAAGGTTTACTTTTCAGTGAACTTAACTGACTGGCGTTAAACGGTAATTACTGAAATAGCTCAGAAGATTGTAAATGCCTACTTTATAGCACTAAGTTAGAGACTATGAGAACAATTTTGTTTGATTTACAAGCAATCTTCTGGTACAATCTAGAAAATAAGTACAATAGAGTTTTCGATTGAGAAAACATACAAAAGAAACAAGTAAATTGCAAATTCTGAAATAAAGCAGTCCAGTTGCAATGTAAGACCACAACAACCACTAAAATTAACATCATTGATACTTATACTTGACACTTACATCATGTTTCCTAGCTCACTGATAAAAGGATCATAATTATCAAAACTATGAATATGAACTTTAAGATGCATTCCAAGGGGAGTTTTTTTGTGTTTCCTGTTTGGTAAGAAGAATAAGTTTTATTTGTACTCAAGATTTCGAAAGATGACAAACCCTTCAGACGAAAGAATAATTGAAAAGCCTGTGGTGAATATAATTGCAAACAATTTTATTAATTTTTACAACCAATGTAAAAATGAATATGTTGGAATTTGCATGAATTTTTCATGTAGCTATTATTTTCATTGTCTCACCACTATTATAAATTCATGAAGGAGTTATGTATATTCTGCAACTTAAACTAAATTTTATTTTAGTCTAACTGCGTTTAGGAAAACATTGTCGTTGATGGTAACTTTCATGGTGCTTACTTAAAGGTATGAATTTGAACATACAAAGCGTAAATATAGCTTTCAAATAAAAGCATTTTAAACAAGTGCTTGGGTGTTAATTTACAATTGGTGTCAAAATTCTTTTGAAGAAAACGCACATTTTCGCTGTTCTATAGTTGTTGTGGATTAAAAATAATGTCAGTTATCGAATATAATTTACTGATATTATTGCTTTGTTTTGCTGTTGCTAAATCTTCACAATTACATGACCTGTATTTTTTTTCACCTTTTCTCACAAAGCCGTATATATATATATATATATATATTTACATTATTCATATATTCTATAAGGAAAATATGCAAGATAGCTCTTACCCATCCTTCAGCAAACCAACGTGTACCGGAAAAAGGAAGCATGAATTAAAACACATCTATAAATACCAGCAATGAACTCAGCACTGGGGATTTGCTGAGCTGAGTTATTGTATCTTGTCTGTTTTAAGACATTATCTGAACGTGTTTATTAGATATTTCATTATTTGATCTCAGTTCAGCCTCAGTTCAGCCCAGAGTTGAAAATGCTTAATGTATAGTAAGACTAAATCAGCCCCTAAAACGTTTAAAATAAGTAAGTGGAGTATACTGATCAGCATCCTCTGTAGGTAAAACATCATCCATCTCCCTTAAACACCGAATCTGTGACTTGTAGCTTACAACTACGCCAACGGTAGACCCTACTTTTCAAATTGTCTTTTCTGCAGATCTTTGGTTTCTCAGAGTGGCATTATTGCTTCTTTGGTTGTCAGTTCCGGTATGTTCATCGGATTGATTTTCCAAAGTGCTACAACTAGGTCTGTCTCTTTTACCTTGAAAGTTGACGTTGCCTTGTTCTCCTGTCAATACGGACAATGAATGTAACAGTTGGCATATTACATGTATAATTCAAAACTGATAATACACTAACCATAAATTCATTACTATTTCAAATGAAAACAATGTTTAGATAAGATGTTTATATCTCCAGAAATATGTCTTTATGATGCTTCATGAAGAGTATGATACTTTGTTCACTCAACCGATCAATCGAACGCGTGTTTACATGTTTAGAAACAGGCAATATTCTACAACTGTAGTTTTGTTTCAACTATTTTCTTTATAACATTTTGATAGGATCTTATTACACATGATTCTGTGCGACTGCGATTAAATTATGTTTAATCTTTGAACGCGGAGTCATCGCAAAGAGCAAACGTTTAATTGTATTCTTGGTTAAACTCGCACAATGCGTATAAATTCTTTGTGATTTTGGACGTTCTGTTAAATCCACGCCGATTTTTATGTAATCACAAAAGCTCGAAAGAAATTAAATACACGTTTACATAACATCACCGGAGCACTGTGACCATAGAGAGTGCAAGAAAAGCAATATCAATCGATCGAACTGACTTAATACGGCAATACGGCAGGGTGAATCCATTTCATGTGTTTTTCGCTAAACAAGATATGTATAATTGATGCCAGTGATCACTCAATTTTACTATCTACTGTATTACGTTGTTTATGCCTCATATCTATTAGAATTCCTGAAGTTTAAAATCAAACAGAAACTTACAGAAGTTCCGAAAGGTTTTATAATGTTGTGATTGTACGCTCGCCTTCATTCCGTAAACTCCTCCCCCCCAGAATTGTTAACAGACAGACAGACACAAATCAAGATTTCACCAGTTTATAGGTAGGGGGGGAATGGGTCGATTCATGTGAAGAATAGTGTGCTGCTACGCTCATGCGTGGCAGCAATAAAAAACACGTTCTTCATCACGTGTGTGTAGCAGCCAATCGTATTAATAAAGTTTGAATTTGGATAGCTCGTTAAATTAATGAAGTACACGACTTCCCATGCAGTAAAAAGATAATATTTATATTTTTTTCACAGCTTGTTTAATTCTTGTATACAGTTCCAGGAACTGGCTCATTTTTGTTTTTTTCAATCTTACATGACCCCATTGAATTGGCGTTTTCAAGTCGACATCACTGAGTCATAATATTTTCACTGATTGAGTAATTCACACAACTAAAAACTCGCAAACGCTCTCAGAACTATTGCATAATTCGTACTTCGTGGATAATCTTGAATGCAAATGAGCTTGGATTTATGCGAGATCAGACAATTTTTCAAGCATATATAATTTACCTAAAGACAATTTCATTGATTAACACGAAGTTGACTATTTTTCTGACAAATTGACTATTATGTAGAGTCATTTTTATTGTATTTCACAGGTTCTTTGTAGAAAAGAATGGCTGAATTTTCAGGTAAATTGTTCATTTTCATGTAGCTTTATTACACAAGAATTACTAACAGTGATCTTAAATTGGATTGTTTTTTTTAAGATAAATCTCAAAAAAATATTGCACCGAGAATAGCTGTGCAAGTTAGCCCATCGTATTATGTTGTTGTGGGTAATATGCATTTGGAAACGCTGACTGATGCACTTACTGAAGCTTGTCGAAGTGGATATCATGTTCTCAGTGAGGTGTGTACAAATTTCTCTTTTAAAGTTTCAGGTAATACACAATAAGCTGTTCTTTTTAGAGCCTTTTAAACTCGTGACAATTTCCAAGGAGTTTTTGCAGGGCCGGATTAATATTACGTGAGGCCTGTGGCACATTTTCAGCGTGAGGCTCCCCAACCTTCCCACACGTTATAAAGTACTTTTAGTTCAGAGATACAAAATTATTAACTACCTTTTTTATTATATCTTCAGAAACCCAATTGCATTTGAGCTAAATTTAGTATATTTGGTGAAAAATCGCGATGCTGGTATAAAAATATACATTCCATATCCGACAGACATACCAAAATGTAAACATTTATCATTTTAAGTGCTTGAAATAGATAAAAAGTGTCTTACTCATACTGTAAAGGTCAAACTAACATTGGCTCAGTATTGGAGATTTGCGTCTAAAACTTAGTCGATATATGATGCCGGATTTAATCCAAAAATAACCGGTAAACGTTATGCCCACGTGACTTCTTCATTGCAAAATCGTTTATTAGTTATGAAATGGAAAGTTTTCGCACAAGTGTGGACTCCATGCTGACGAGTGCGAGGTTGTTCAATCGCTCCTGCCCGATGCTAGCTCTAATTTCGCTTTTAAGAAGCTTTAGCTTTGAGAATGAATTTTCTCCTGAACAGTTTAAGATCATCAAGCGTAGATAAGTCCTAAATGCGATCACAATATTAGAAAATACTGCCTCCAGATTGTTTACAACAATTAGACGGTAGGATCGTAATTCCATTGATTCCACGAACTGAAAGCCATCATCGTCATTCTGTCCGATCACAGACACTGACTCAATTTCTTTACTGTCAAATTCATTAGAGCAAAGAAATGGCAGTGATCATTTGAGAATCAGTTGTTTGAAATGATTCTTTAACAAAGTCAGTGTTCAAAAATATTTGAAAATTGAAACAGCTCGCCTACCAGGCAGACTTTCAGATCGTCAGAGTATGTATTTTGCAGATTAACGCACAATTGGTTAACTGCTCGTCACGCAAGTCGTTGAGCGTTCGTAAGAAACCAAATTTGACAGCAATTACTGAATATGCACCTATTCTTTTCTCCAATTTGTTTGCGATGCTGTCTACGATTACCAAAAATGTTCCCGTACGAACTCTGTCAAAAGGAGTTTGCAGCCGTTTTCAGATTCTGCTTCTGGATCATCGTAATGGCGATAACGTTAACTACTCGTCGGAATTCTTCTTTATAATGATAGCTTTTACTCAGAAGTTTCCCTTTTCTTTCGAATTCATCGAACTTGGTGCGTATTTTTCTAATAAAAATTACAAGGGACTCGTATATTGCGACTATTGAATTCAGATCTTGTATGGCAGATCTTGTTTGGCGATATTTAATGTTTATTCAAATGCAGTTTTCAAAAGCTCTTTGTCGACGAACAGTGACAGTGTGACTCTTAAAAGTTACTTTGAACAGCATTAAATAAAAACTCAGCGCATCAGCTCAGTGGTATTATTACAAGTATCAGATTATGAATATTTTCCTTGGCCAACTGCCACGCCTAGAGGCCCTTAATGCGTCAGATCTCCACATTCGCAAGGACCTTTTAGACGTTACGCAGGAAAAATGGGTATGCTTTTGTAAATATGGGTGTGGTACAGCAGAGCGCCAGGCCTTCATAAGCGTGAGGCCCGTGGCATATGCCGCATCTGCCACGTGGTTAATCTGGCCATGGGTTTTTGTAAATTATAACTTGTTAAATAAGCCAACATAAAACAAACATTGTCAATTTCCCATTTCCAATGCATTGCTTTTGCAGAATATGCGACAGGCAGAGATGCGTTGATTATATATATTTTTAAGCAAACATCAAATGCAAGTTTTTCTTTCAACCTGCAGGGTGGTGCCGCCGTGGATGCTGTTGAGAAAACTATAAGCTATCTTGAAGATTTATACTATTTTAATTGTGGTTATGGATCATTGTTAAATAATGACGAGGAGATTGAATGTGATGCAATGATAATGGATGGAACTACATTGAACACAGGTAATTATTAGTTTTATGTTACACACACATGCGCAATGAAATCTATACTTTTATTCCTCAAGTGCATTGTTTTCCACAGTTGATTGATCATATCAAAATTTTAAATTGACTTTAATTTTTTTAAAATTTTAACAGGTGCAGTTATGGCAGCTGATTGTTTAAAAAGTCCTGTCAAACTTGCTCGAAAAATAATGGAGGAAACCATGCATACCGCAATAGCAGGAGCTGGAGTTGAGAAAGTTGCTAGAAAACTTCAATTTCCAACCTTCACAAATGACGAGCTGAAGCATTCTGAAACAGCAGCCTTCAAACTCAAGTATGAAGAATTACCAAACTTTCTCAAGGAACAATTTGGTGGGTGGGATTCAGTCTCAGCTGTTGCAATGGACAAACATGGACATTTTGCATGTGCAAGTTCTACAGGTGAGTGGTTTTTATTATGACTGAAACTACTATTCTACGACTTCCAAAAAGTGGTACATTATTCATCGCCTAATAAAGTATTACATAAAATCACATTGACATATGCAGCAATCCTATTGCCCAAAAGAATGATTTTAAAAACTACTGATGCACGTTACTACTTCAAATAAATTGGCTTCACCTTTAAGTACAAAAATACTATCAAAAAGAGGCAATTATGTTTAAGTTAAGGTATAGTTTATCCCGGAAAGTTTTGAAGATATTTTACATCAGTCAGGGGCGGATCCAGTTATTTTCGTGACTGTTGGCAAATGTATACCAAAATAGTAAACCGGTACACATACAAGCGCTGTTTATAGAAAGTTTAAAAAAATAGCCCCCCGTCCAACAAGGTTTTTAAATCTACGCTCTCGGAGACGCAAATGAGTATCAGAAACTTGCTATTACATGCTATTGCATTCCAAAATCCTGAATTTGTGATAAAACACGATTTTCTCTGATATTTAGATCAGTTTTTACATAACTAACATCTTATTGATGTCACTAAACAAAAACGTACTAACTAGAAAATTAATTAGAAAGTTTATATCAATCTGGCAGCTTTAAAAATATATGAATACTGAAGCAGCAGAAAACACTTTATCTCCAAGTGTTGCCTATTTTAAAGGTAAAACTATTTTGATTTTTCTGGATCTTCATTGAATATATCCAACAACAGCATTCTTCGTGGATGTTTAAGTGCAAATTTTTGTACAATTAAGTCAATGTTGACTTTCATTTCACGATGTTCATTTAAAAGTGCTAGCGATTTTAACCATTCATCTTAGAGGCGGATCTTGGATTTTTCAAACATCAGTCATAAAACGTCGGAGGCACTCCGCACCTGGAGGGTCCTAGGCATTCTCCCCCTGGAAAATTTTGAATTTCAGAGCCTTGGAAATGCCATTTTCAGCATTTGCGTAAAGGCAACACATTTTGCCTATGTTTTTTACAAAAAAAATTGAAGTGAACAATACTTGAATGTTTTGCCAAATATTTAGGCTCTTTATCATGGCAAATATATTGCTCATTAGCATGTCTAAGAACATAAAATTTAATTTACAATAATGCTATTTCAAAAAAGATATTGTCTTTGAAACTTTCTACCAAGCTGTGAGGCCTAGACCCCCCATACAAACCTATCACGGTAAGAGAAAAATTTAAACGAACCATTTACACGATAGCAATCGGACTCCCTTATCGGTCCAGCTACCACGCTTATCGGTCGATATTATTCCAGATCGTCCACTGATCTAGCTATTGACTAATGGAATGGCTTGAATAAGCGTTCTTCAACTCCGTTATCGGTCAAACCTATCGAGCCATCCTGCTTATCAGTCAGCCAGTTAATATAATTCTAGATATGTTTTTATCTACTGATCTGTTTACTAAGGTTGTATTTGTACCTGGGTTGGTGTCGTCGTTAACAATGTAGTAGCAAGCATCATCTCGATGACCACGAAGAGTAATATTTTGTCGACCGCTTAATATAATGGCATCCATAATTGGCCGTAGGCGCTTTCTGTTTTTCTCAATCAGTTCTCTTTTTGCATTACAAATTTGCACATCAATTTCCATCTTCCTTTGTTCCATCACATTTTTAAAGTCGTCTGCTCGAACAGTAGCAGTTTTGTGCACCATCGATGACAAAGCATGGGAATTAAGCCTCTGCACTGTAGATCTAATGGGTAAAAGAGGAGAACTTTTTAATCTTTCAAGCTTACACAAGTTATGTGTTGTCTCACTACAAAAAGGACACAATTTATGCAAAAACCACCATTAACAGCTGCCGAGTAGACCAACCAACTGAGTTTCGACAGCCAACGATGCTGAAATCGGTTTTTCTTTCCATTAAAATAAACAAAAGGAAAGTCGTAGGTTTCACCCAGCTTCCAAACATTACACAAAAGATCATATTTAGCAGCATCAGAAAGTTTATTGCCACGGTTGACAAAGTTATATATATCATTAGAATGAGCATTCCTCTTTTCACTGTTGTTTGTGGAGTCAGGTTGGTTAGCTGTTGAGTTTTCCGAAGACAGATCTTCCACTTTAATGTTGATATTTACTGGATACTCTGTCTGATCGTGTGGTGTTACCGAATTTGATAATTTTCCCGTACAACAGGTGCTACTTCTTTTCTTTGAGAGTAAAATGTCCAAATTAGTTTGCTTTTGCTGCTGCTTAAGACTTGATTTCACATATAATGCAGGAAACTTTGCAACTGCTGTATTCAATATTTCTGTAGGTTTTTGGAGACATTATTTCATGTGAATTTCTTACTGAATCGAAAAGTTTATTTGAAAATACAAATAAAAATTGACATGCCTAACAGGAATCTTTAAATTTGATATTTTGACTTCACAATTTGAAAATTGCAGTTTCGAAAAGTCGCAAATCAGGTATTCTCGGTGAAAATGATTTGTACATTGCTTTTGAAGCAATTTTAACGCTTCAACTATTTCACATGATTTTGCTTGGCGGCAAAATATCTCTTCGATTTTCTCCAAAACTGTGGCCATATGCCCTATGCTACTGGTAAAAGCCGTTTATCGATGCATAAGCCGAAAAATTAGATTTTCTTTACATTAATCGTACAGCTTATGAAGTTATTTTGCGTATAGATTTAGATTTCGCAATAATTCAGGGGAAACTCTAGCTCACTGTTGCCAAACTATTGTCATCTGACAAGAATAGCGACTTTTGATTCACTGGCAGCACTGGACTGTTGCCCACCATGCTAAATTTAGCAACAAAAAGGCTGCTGACTGTTGCCTAAAAATCGTGTGAGCAGATCTACGAGCTCCTTCCGAAACCTAAAAAGATGTTCGGTGTACATTCGCACAAACCTCGTGAACTAATTAACCTATGCGGGTTCTTCCCTACAGCTAACACAAAAAATATATTATTTAAGTCATTCTGCGGATGAATATCAAAATATATTTGAAATGCCAGAAATATAATTACTGCAGCTTTGAGCTGAGTGATAGTAGCATACAGCCTAATATGTAACGCCAAGTGTGACTGTTGTCAAGGCAAGTTTGACAACACACTGGATCCGCCCCCTGCATCAGATCTAAAACTCTGTGTATCTATTCTAAAGTAGACGTCGGGGAAATGTAATCTATTGGTTAATTTCAGAAACTCTCCTTTTTCTTTTACACAGCTCTAATCTCCGAAAGTCCTAAGATTGCCTGCTTAAATTCCATTCCATTCTTCCATGATTTCCTTGTAATGTTAATCTTTTTTCATTTAAATGTTCTCAGTCAAATTCTACACATCTTTTCCTTGATCTGCCTCATCCTCTTGTTTCCACATTATCTTTAGTTCCATGACATTTCGCAATGATTTCTCCATGGGTCTTTTCATTTCATGTCTACACCATCTTAACCTTGCTTCTTTTCTCTTTTTAATAATGGTTAGCAGACAAAATCTTCTTATGATGTTGTTATTTTTTATTTGTCTTTCGATGATACTTCAACAATCATCTCTGCATCCGCATCTGAGTTATTTCCATCAAATTGTCCTTTCTTTCCCTAATTGCCCTGTATTCAACGCCATACAACAGCCCTCGTGTTAACTGTTCTGTAAATTTTACATTTTGGTTTAATGGAAGCTTTTCATCACAAATAATTCCTTTAACTTCTCTCCATTCTATCCACGTCCTGCTTTCCATGATCGTCCTTCAGCTTCTTTGACTAAGTCCAGGTATTTAATGTACTCAACTTGAAGTAGCTCTCTTCCTCTAGAATTTCCAACTTCTCAGTATGCATTTTAAAACTTTGTTCCAATCAAGGCTATATTATCCGTAAAAACTAGCTTCAACAGTGTTGCTTTTAAATATGCCGAAGCAGAAAGTGCCTAGTTCGGAAAATTGATGGACATTCACTTTATCTCAAACCGTCTGAGTCACCAAATGGCTTTCTTATATTTCTAAACACCTCTCATACATTGCTTTAGAATGTACTAAACACAAAATTTTGTAACCCTTTACTCCATCACGTTTGCTAGCACCTTGAATCTCACTTGAAGCAATTTTATTTCACTGAAATTTTTGATTTGGAATGGGTCTACTTTATCTATAAGAGTTCTGATCAGATATCTCATAGTCCATGCCCCCAAAATCAATTCCATGATTTTTTAAGCAACATTGTAGACATTCAATTCCTTCAATATCTTGTCCCTCAAATTGCTCCGTAGCGATTCAAGTGGGTCCTGTTCAAGTGTATTTTTGTTGTGGTTGACTGACTTTTTGACAACCTTAGCGGTAGTCATCTTCAGTGTAAAACAAAAAAAAACATGCCCGAGCAAAGAACATATTTTTATATTGAGGCTCAGATTCTATTCCGAAATCATTCGAATTTGATTTAGCCAATTCTTAAACTAGATCTGTTTTAAAAAAATGTCTGCAAATTTTCTTATGAGTGATAACCTAGTACCTTGAATTTTTCAAGGTTTACTTAGCATTCTTTACATAGCATTCCAAAAAGACGCGGTTTCAAAAGAGCTGTTTCGAAAAGACCGACTTGATTTATTTATTTTTTTTTTGACTCTGAAGATGACTACCGCTAAGGTTGTCGAAACGTCAGTCAACAACAACAAAAACAGTCCTTCTCAGGACTATACAAACCTGGACGATCTAAATTTACAAACATGTAACAATTGTCCTGGGCTTAAACCATTTACTATAATTTTTAAAATCTTAAATAGTTTCTTCAATTCCTCCATAAAAAATTCTCTCTTTCATCCCGTCACATGTGTTACACATGTTTCAGTTTATTTCTCTTTATAGCTATTTTCAATATCTTATTTTCCGATTCTTCCGTTTCTAGGATTTCATATCACAATTTTCAGGTTCCTTCTTTGGCTTTTGCCACAACTTGTTTTGCCTCTTTCTTCCACTTCCTGTACACCGAGACCATCGTTCAAACCTTTGCACGCTTTCTCTTTTTTCGTTTATCGCAGTCTGATCCTCATCCATTACCACATCGCGTCTTTCAAATAACAGTTTTATTTTGATTTGCACATACTACTACTGCAGATTCATGCAACACTTCCCACATTGAACCTAACATCTCATTCCCAGTTTGCTCTTTCCACTTTTTCTTCCTGTATCGCTAATTCACAGACACAAAAATAAAAATATTTCGTAACACAATGCAAGCAGCTTTTATGCTAATTTTGTTTCAATTCATCAGGTGGCCAACCAGGAAGACTGAAAGGTAGACTTAGCGACGCCTGTACGGTTGGTTGTGGTGGATACGCTAATGAATATGGCGCTGCAACGGCTGGTGGATATGGAGAGGCAGTAAGAAAAATGACATTAGCCAGACAGGTAGTGTTCAACATGGAGTCGGGACAAGATGCTCAGGTAAGCACAAGCTATATAAATTCAAACTCAATGCAGGGATATTTTACGATGCCTGTATGTCAGAAAAGAATGAAATAATCTAGAAACTTATTTTGTACTGTATAGAACTCTGTTAAGAACGCAGTGGAAAAAATGAAGGAGCGCTTACCAAAGAGAGGTTTTGGTTCTGCCATTGCAATCGATCGAAATGGTAATATTGGCATTCATAATACATCATCCATAATTTGGTTTAAAAATGAAGGTGGAAACGAATTGCAGGGCACATTAATAAAGCCAAGAAAAGTCAACAGTACGCCTGAATAGAAGAAAGGCAATTTTCCAGGAGCCAATGCATATTTCATTATATATTTTCAGTTTGTAGTCTGTAGCGTTCTTATACCATCACTTCATAACCACGACAAGCTCAAAATTTATCAAAGGCACTTGAAATAAAAGAAGGATTGACTTATTTTCAGAGAAAATCTTTAAATTTCCACGAAATTTATCGAACTTCTCAAAAAACTTGCCATGTTAAAACTTTGCTCAAGAATAATTGCACATTACTATTAACTAGTCATAATAAATTCAATTGTTTAAGAAATAAGTCTAATGCACTTACGATTTTCAAATCAAAAAAATATAACTCATCTTCACCACAGAAAAAAATAGCATTTAGTTGTTCGTGAATCACGTTGCCTTCTATTTAGAAACAAGTTAATTCCACAAAGATTGTATGTTAAGCTGGCTCTTAAATAACGATAGTCCTTTAAGGATCATATCAAGAAATGAATTACAATGTTTAGCACATACCACCTACATTTGGTGATTTGGTGTGCGGTCAAAATTTTCCAAGTAATCAGGCAAAGAAGCCTTGCTTACAACTTTCCCTCATTTAAAAATGAAAAGTGCTTGTCCAATAAAGAAAATACAATATTCGAATGTAAGATAATAATATTTTCTAAAAAATACGAATGTTACTATCTGCGGAAACAGTGCGTTAATATCTTAATGGCAATGGAGTTTGCTTCTCCTCCGAATTCGACCTTAACAACAGTTGCTATGGTTGTGAAACCGGTGATTAGACTCGCCGCTGAAAATGTTAGAATGTTTGACAACACTGTAAACAGTAAACAAATCAAGTCGGTCTTTTCGAAACAGCTCTTTTAAAATCGCATCTTTTTGGAATGCTATGTAAACCTTGAAAAGTTCAAGCTCCTAGGTTATCACTCATAAGAAAATTTGCAGACATAAAAATATTTACTTTGCTCGAGCACGAGCCTTTTTTCTAGTTTTTCTGCACTGAGTCAGACCTTAAGTAGAGTTTAGAAGTCCAATGAAATGCTTATTTAACACAATGGTTTCAAGAAAAGCTGAACGCTAACAAGGTTTCTTCTGCAATGTAATACTTTGATGTACGCCGGCTGTGAAAACAGTTATTTGTTATGACATTGCAAGATTGACAATTTTGTTTTCAAAATGCCAAAATTTACTTCTTCTGTACGTCATGTATAAAATTTGTATCATCGACGAACAGCTTGTCAATAGAGAATGTGTAACCATTGTCAACGAATCGCCTTTGTGCTACAGTTAAATACTTATAAGTTAAATGCACTATTATATGTGCAAATATTGTGGTGCATATGTGAAGATTGGCTGTAGAAGTAATTTAAAATGAAAATCCTCAAAATTTATAAAACGATTACAAAATCAGCTGGTTGAAATGAACTTCAAACTAGGGGCCTGTTCATAAGAACCTAGTTAGGTAGACCTTCCCCTCACCGAGCCAATTATTCCTTCGCTTTCGTGTGACAAATTCAATTCCGTTTGGCAAGGCAAAAAGGAAAACAATAAAAGTCCGTTGGTGCCTATGTTCTGAATATCATAATTTTATTTCGGAAAGCGGGCTAGCTGAATTTAGGTGGAAAATGTTTCATATGATAGAAGGCTGACTTTGGCAACTGGATCAGTCTGCTATATCATATGAACACGTGAATTTTAACAATAAATTCATGGCTAAGCAAGATCGTAAGAAACGTTGTGAGATGTCTCGCTAATAGGGTTTGCATGAGCTGGTCCTAAAGCGTGTACTTGCATCGCGCAAGATATAAATGACGTATATAAGCATGATATTAATTTGCATACTATCTCAAAAAAAAGATAGAAAGCCAAAAATGGATGAAAGGCGAAAGCCGAGTTTTATGTTCTTCAATTAAATATCAATACATTGGCATTCCATAAAAGTCCACCTTAGTAAAACGTAACTAAGTTATGTTGTCTCCCATTAATTAGTCACGACATTGACTTTTGTTTAAGATCAAGAACACGATCTTGTTTGATCTTTAAACGTTCCACTTGTAGAATCCAGAAAATGATTTGAACTAAATATTTTATTCATCACGCAAGTATATAAATCCGTACCACAAAAGTAAAACAAAAATTAAGTAGTTGAAAATGTAAGTAAACAGTTGAGTTGCATTGAATTGGTTATGGTCATCAGTTCCTTTTCAATGTTAGCTAGATCACTAAAAGATCAATATATTATAAATATATAGGAATATATCAATGAGACACATGCAAGGCTTTAAACAAATATAACATGCATTTTGTGTATCATTGGCATGAACAATGAAAAATATGTTCATCCTAAATATAATATTTCTGAATTGATAATTGAAAAATATGAACCAAATTTGTAATTAAAGAACGACGTATTCATTACTTGAAAGCTTTCGCGAATCACGCATCAACTTAATGACAATCACAATCTAGAAAGACTGCTCATTGAAAAATTTGCAATTTTTCCCTCCTTAATTTAGCTTTCAAAGTATTTCATATGAGCCTTTAAAAATGACAATATAAATTGAAAGCCTTAGGTGAATACAATTAAACGCAATTTCATTATTTTTCGTAATCAATCGAAGAAAAAAAATTTGTTGGAAAGTGGCTAATTTGCACCAGGTATATATTACTTTAATTATCTCATTAATTATTAAGCCCTTAACGACCCAGTGCGAGGTCTTTACGGAGAAATAACGGACCGACAAAAATACCAACGAGCACATCTTTGGTCTATTTGATTCAGTCTCAGCTGTTGCATTGGACAAACATGGAAATTTTGCGTGTGCAAGTTCTGCAGGTGAATGGTTTGTATTATGATTGAAAATGCCATTCTTTTCCGAATTCTCAAATATTAATATATTTTCACCTTAGTTTTAACGTCAAATAAAGTATTATCTGCATTTACATAAAGAAAAGCTGTTTGTTTCCCTTGATCTTAAGATGCATGATATTTCGATTTTGTTCCTTTTGTTCCTCTGCTATCCATGATCGTCCCACATGCTTCATAACTAAGCACGGGTAATAAAAATCCTCTTCTTGAACAACCTCTCTGCCATTCGTGTCATTTATTTCCTCCTTTGTTATGCAAATCGAACTATATCCTAATTCGCAAACACTATTTCGTACGGTATTGCCTTTTCCATAAAACCAATAAATGTATTTAGAACTAAGATGAACAGAAAAGTGCGAAGTACTTACTTTTTATGAATGGCAACTTTATCTCAAACTCTTTCGCATTGCTGAAGGGCATTCGTTTCTTTATTGACACTTTCTCATACGTTGCTTTTACTACCATTTTTTCAGAATTCTTCCTTTTCTTGTACATCAGAAGACCACGTCTCTGAGCACTCGGACGAAGAATTTCATTTGCACTTGTCCAAAAATAAACATTGCATGTAGTATTCTTCGTTCTAGTCAAAAATCATGCTGGTCATTTTCTATCGTCACAATCTTTCTTAATTTTACTGTCCATTATCTTCTTTAGCAACTTTAACCCCGCCTTTTTTGGCCTGTGAAGTCTCTTTTAACTATATAAATCCTTATCAGATAACTTATAGTTCAAGTCATCATAACTGTTTCCTCTTATGATTTTGTAAACAACACTGTTAACTATTTTCTCCTTAAAACTGCACCAACCTTCCAAGAGCTCTGCAATTATTCCAGTAGGTCCCGCTGCTTTACATTGTGTTTTTCCCAAACTGCCTTTTACTTGCTCGGCCAAAGCCAAAAACTCAATTTGGCGCAAATATACCACTTCAATTTCTTCCACGTCATCTTATTCATCTTCTATGTTCAATAACATTTGAAAGTATTATTTTTTCCTTTCCTAATCGAGAATGGGAATTTTTCTATTATTGTCTTTCAATACTCTTTCAACTTTACTTATATGTGTAGCTATTTTATATATCTTACCTTCTCTTCTTTTGTTTCTACATTTTGAAGTTACTCTTTCCAAGCTCCCTCTTTTCTTCTTGCAACTACACATTTTGAAGTTACTCTTTCCAAGCTCCCTCTTTTCTTCTTGCAACTACACATTTTGCCTATTACTTTAACTTCCTGTGTCTACCTGATTTCTTAGACCATCTATGAAAGTTTATTACACTGTCTGTTTTTCATTTATCCAATCAATGCAAGCACATTTTAAGCAAATTTATTTTGTTTCAATTCACCAGGTGGCCAACCAGGAAGACTGAAAGGTAGACTGAGCGAGGCATGTACGGTTGGCTGTGGTGGATAAGCTAATGAATATGGCACAGCAACAGCTGGTGTTTATAGAGAGGCAGTACAAAAAATGACATTAGCAAGACAAGTAGTTTTTAATTTAGAGTCGGGACAGGATGATCAGGTAACTACAAGCATATCAATAAGAATTCAATCCGCGATATTTTACGACATTTGAGTATCATAAAGGAATGAAATAATTTCCACACTTATTTTTCACTACTTAGAGCTCTGTTAAGAACGCAGTACAAAGAATGAAAGATTGCTTACACAATACAGGTTATATGTTTCTGCAATTGCAATTGATCGGAAAGGTAATATTGACATACATAGTACATCCATAAGTTGGTCAAGAATTGCAGGTGGAGGCGAATTGTGTGGTGCAATAATAAGACCAAAAAGAAATCAACAAGCATGACTAAATATAATACAAAAATGGCTTAAGATCGTAATGGGAGTATTTTGCCATAAATGTTCTTTAGAAAGTTTTGATCAACAGCGTAAATATCAGCAAAATGGAGCTTCTGTACTTTACTTAGACATAAACATGATCCACTCCTGGTTTCAGAACATTTTGCCCAAATTCAAGGGCATCTTAGGAAACTATTGGTAATATGACTTTTGTTTTTAGTTGCTTGCCGTCATTACAAAATCTGCTTGAAACTCCAACATATTCTTCTACTCTTTTGATAATTCAAAGTTGAGCTTTACAAGCGCTTTATGGGCACAAGTAGCAAGGCTTCACGTGCCGTCCCTGATTTCGACTGATTGCTACAACACGCGCAACACTTCCAAACTTCCAGCCCGAGTTTGGATCGCCCCCTGGCGCGACAAGATATGATGATGATGATGATGACAAGCGCTTTATGAAGATAGATTACGAGTTCGAGCTCTTGAGTCATTGTTTTCAACTATTTTTTTTTCTCTGGTTTAGTAATGCAAGTTGTGTTCCAGTTGAAGGTCATCCTCCCTCGTCGTTGTCTCCACATAATTAACCTTAATTTCCTTAATAATTTCGTATACAAGAACTTTAATTCCTTGTTTGAATAAATTATCGAAAATACTAGATAAATTAACTGTTGTCTCTCAATCGGTCATGCAAGAATTGGATTTATAAATATGAAGGGCATCTTTTGTGACGAAACAAACGAGAGCCAATTCACCCATGCCAGATTGCTAGACATAGTAAACCTATGGCTTTGCGTCAACTGTGGACTTATGTCACAAGCTTGACGTAAGAACATTCACACTTAATA